GGAGGTGCTGGTGTGACCTGAGTTTCCACTGGAATATAGGGTAGAGCAGCCACGCCCCTCCCCTACCTGTTGCTGCCAGTGGATGTTTAACTAGGTAAAAGAAGGCTCCAACACTGACAAGACAAAATCAGCTCCTTTCCACTCAACACTTGTATAAAGGTGATATTTTTACACTTTGATCTTTGCTGTTTTAAATAAAAGAAATTAGATGGTGTTGTAGAGTTTTGTTTAAAAATTTTTGAAGTTTACAAGTTTGTCCTAATTGTCCAGCAATTTCTAGTTGCTGGACAGTTTCATTAATAACAAATGTGGGAGATTTTTATATTTTCATATTTTTTTTGAGAAAAAAAAAAAAAAAAAAAAAAGTCTTCACTGCTGATAATTTTGCTGGTAAAACCAGAGTTGAAAGCGCCTGAGCGGTTCTTTTACTACTGCGGTGAATATTTTCTGAGCAGGTAACTCTCATGCAATGGGTGAGAGAGCTGCAGCTGCTTTAGATGTGGTTTTTCTTTAAATAACCACTCGCATCGCAGATCGATCTGTCCATAAACATACTGTCAAAGACACCGTGGGACGTTGGGGGCGGCGGTTTGCCTGCATGTAACTGCTAGGTGCCTAAAAAAAACAAAAAAAAACAACCCTTTCATTTATTCTTCCACCCCAGCATCTCTGTTTGCTAAACACTAGGGGGGAAAAAAGGGTTATTTTGCCTTTGTTGGCTCATTGGCAGTGAGGGTTTGACATCCCTGCTGCGTGTGACAGTTCAGAGCAAAGGTCTTGGTAGCAACAGGCCACGTGTTATATAATCCGTCACAGATGGAGAGTTCCTCGTTCAGACAACCTGCAGCTCACCGCGCCACTCATTAGACACTGGACTCTACACGCTATTAATGGCTGCCAATATGTAATGTATTATTATGCTGCAGGCGATCGAAAAGGTGTTTTTGCTCATTTGGATTTGCTGATGTTTCTCGTGCAATCCATGTATCATAAAGTGCATTTCATTGTAGAAAGTAGTTTAAGCCCTTTTGTGAAAGATGTTCTGTTGTAACAGGCACAAAATTATCCACATGTACTCAACAGAACCTTAACGTTAGCAGCAGAGGACACAGAGTTATGGCTCTTCTAGGTAAATCCATAGCTGTTTATGTAACTAGCACCAACCAGGCTTTTCTAGGAACTCTGGAAACAGAAGGCTCTGTTGCTGGTTAGTGTGACTGTAAGAGGGTTAAGGGTGGGGGAAACAAAATAAAAAAAAGATTGCGCCTGCATATTCTTATTAGAAACGCACCGAATACAGCGCATGCCCCCAGCCTTTGCCGGATTTCCATTGCACCCCCAAAAAGTGCATCAAAGTACATTCTGTTGGTTAATGCATTTCTAAAATGAAAATGGCAGGTGGCATTAGTTTTGAATAGCTTTAGGAATAGGTCAAAACATTTCAAATTTTTCAGTATTTCAGAGGAAAATGGTCTTATTTCAATTTCTAATTGATTGATTGATTGATGGATTGATTGATGCAAATCTCTTATTTATAGTCACATGATTTCACTCGTACTCCAACCGATCCTATTTGTAGCTTTTTCGGCAGCAAGTCTCCTTGACAAACAGGTGCTTTTAAGAGGTATTGATCCTATGATGGGGGGGGTCATCACCAGGAGTCGAGCTTTATGACCCTGCGACCTCTAAGGGGAACACTTAGAGCTCATTTAGATTAAACCCATTGACGCCGGCGTCTATCTTTGCCTGTAAAAATCCAGCTGACACTCAGTCTCCACCAAAAAGATATTGCCTTCATTTGGGGTTGTCAGAACACAAAGGCTGGAAATATTTTACAGCTTTTCAAGTCAAAATGGACTCTTCCAACGTAGCATGCATCCACTGTCTGGTTTGCGAAGGTGGCAGTTGCACTAACCGACATGAACCAGCCCCCTTGCAGCTCTTCACATGCCTTTGGCCGTCCTAATGCAATCAGCAGGTTTCTACAAACAGAGTACTTTCTAAATTCTTTTCCTGCTGAGACTTACGCCAATGTCCAGTTACCAGACTGTTCTGTGCAACTGCCTTAAGCTGCAATTAGATGCCCCTCCCTGTTTTGTCCTTTTGCGGTTACTCCTTCTTTGTCCCTCCTTTTTTTTTTTTTTTTTTGGCTCATGTAGCTTCTTTGGGCATCTGTAATTATCTAAGTGCCACACACTTGGGTTGCGTCATAACCACAGAGATAAAAAAAAATGTTACAGCATATATCTTGCATATAAGTCAAACTATAAGAGTGAGGGTGTCTGGATCCTGATAACAAGTTGCGTCTTTTCACTAGAAGAGATGCAGTAGCGCCTAAAGTAGTTGTGAATAAATGCCAAAGTGGTGAAAGAGGTGAGCACGCTCAGTCGTGTCAACATCCAGTGGGTGTGGAAGGTTGTTTGCGGTGAATCAGCAGTGGGGATCAGCTGCCCAATAAGTGACGCCTCATACCCACTCGCACACTATTTGCGGTCTATGTGCTAAGAACCATAATGAGATATTTGGGCTGGGAAAAGTGTCGACGTGCCACGTAGCCCGGCTTCCCCCGACCGTTTGTCATGTCGGTGGGTGAGGGTGAAAGCAGGACGAAGACAGGGAGTGCATGTGAATGGGGGGTTATCAGGGGTCGTCTGGCGTTGGATGTAATCTCTACTGAGCGTCTCCGGTGTCTGCATTTAGTACATTTTTATGCCTGACGGGACAGAGTCTCAGACAAACAGGCCCACACATGACTGCAGTGCCCTGCTCGTCCCTCACAGCTCTCTTTATCAGGCCGTACGTGGCCATCTGTGAAGAAAATCCTAGTCATTGTGACTTATAGTAAAGTGGCATATGACAATATCATGTACATACACAATGTCTTGTAAAAAGCTTTCATATCCCTTGAGCTTTTTCACATTTTGGGGACCCAAACTTTAATCCATTTCATTGGGATTTATTTGATACCCCTTTCGCCCCCCATACCCAAAAAACAGAGTGCACAATTTCAAAGTTAACTCACTTTGCTCTAATGCCCCTAGAAATATCCGAAGAAACCAGTGGCCTTCAAAAGTCACCTACTGAAGTAGTCTCGTTATAAATCCAGCTGTTTTACGAGGGCTTAAATGGTTTGGAGAAAATATTAGTGAACAAACAACATCTTGAAGACCAAAGAACACAAAAGATAGGTCAGTCAAAGTTGAGGAGTACTTAAAAGCAGGACTAGGTCATTTGGGTTTAAAACCAGCCAATTGCCACAATAAGTGCAAGTTTCAGTTTGCCAGAAGTATTGTGTCAGTAAAACATGGGGAACGGTTCTCTAGGCTGATGAGATTAAAATTGCACTTTTAGTATCTCATGCAAAAGACTACAAGCTTATAACCACAACATCACCCTGCAGACACCCACCCCGCAATGAAACGTCTGATGGCAAAACTCAACACAGAAAACTCTTTTGCCTTGATTCCTGAATTATCCGTTGCAGTACCTCACTACACCGATGGATAGAGCGTGCAGAAACTCAACCACGTTCAGTTGCGTTGTGCCATATTTAGTCTGTGAGCTCTCCCAGATGGAGCTCTGTTGTTAGTTGTTAAAAGGTGGGAGTTGATACCTGTGTATGAACAGATGAAAGGTACAGATAGACATATCCATCATGGGGAAGAAAAGGTGGACTGAATAGAGCTGATTAAACAGCCGGTTGACCTGAGCCAGACTGATAGTCATCATTTAGACCTCATTTGTGTGTGCGTGTGCCTGTGTGTGTGTGTGTGTGTGTGTGTATGCTCATGTGCATTGTGACTTTCAAAGCTGTGGCCACACGGGCTGTACCAGACAGCTGTAGACTTGTTTAGTCTCCACACATGCAATGTTTATTCTCATACAATAACCATATACAGTACTGGTGTAATGGCTGTAATAGTTTGCCATTATGCTCTTATCAGCACCATCCATGCATAACTGAACCATGGCGCATACACACACACTCACGCAATCTCATGCAGCCACCAGTCCTAAGGCAGCGGGGCATAGCAGAGAGCCACGTAGCCCAAACGTCTGCGGTGAATTCCCGCTCCAGTCCTTTGGGTCCGTCTCCTTTAGGTTCCCCCAGAGATCACTTCTGAGTCTATGGATGCTTAATGTCTCTCCGGTCTCACCCCCCAAGGCTGAGCTGAAAGGGCAGCCCCCTCCTAATGGAGCTCTGATTTTGTTAAAGATACAATTATCTCACTTTACCTCTCAACCAGGGGGGCCCATTAGCGGGATAGATAGAACCTGCTGTCCATCTCCAGTCACAGAAGACGGAACTGTCAAGAATGATGTAGTGCTGGAGTTGAGCAGGCTCCAGGAAATGCCATTACATCACCTTCCCCATTGCTGTACCTTTGGCTGTAATGTAGATGGGTGGCGTAGCTTAAACTCAAATAACTGCAGAGGATAAGGTATAACCTTGAGAAGGGAGTAAGACATGAATTATATGTAAGCTGTTGTGAGGAAGCTAAACATTAATCTAAATCACCCAGTTGAGGAAAGGATTAAAAGTTTGATATCCTCTACAAAGGACAGTTCACCCTTAAGCACCAATTTTGAATGGCTTCAAATTAGAAAGTTGTTTAGCCTTTTAGAGGTTGAAGGGTAGTTTTTCAAAAATGTTCATCCGACAACTAGAAGGCATTTTTAATTGACAATGTTTGGACAATCCAAGGCAGCAGCCCACTGTGTTTTGCACAATTGGTGCGCACCCCTTCGCACCCAGTTCAGTGTGTAAACTATAAACCTAGCTTAGTCTGTCTTTACTGTCACCGTTACTGGTGTGTATATATATATATATATATATATATATATATATATATATATATATATATATAAAAAAAACTATTTGAAATAAACAACGCTTAGCCTGGTGGGATGGGAGGCAAGCACACCAGGTTTTCAATACATTGGTGGAAACACAGGCAATCCAATCATTGTGCTCCTTTCTGTTTCTCTTTCCTCTATAGACGAGCCCACCTGCGGCTGTGTTTGGAGAGGTTGAAGGCCCTCATACCTCTGGGACCCGACTGCAGCCGCCACACCACCCTGGGCCTACTCAATAAAGCCAAAGCACACATAAAGGTACGGATGTAACAGGTTGTCCTAGTTACACAATTTGACAGGCATTGCCATAAGACTATCACAATGACGCACAGTGAAAAGAAAAAAAACAAAACCCAGACAGATGATGTATTATCTGATCACTCAGACCAGTTTCCCTAGTAACTGCTAAAAAAAAAAAAAAACAGCCGCCCAAAGAATGATGGTGCCACCACCATGTTTCAGCATGTTGAGCAACGTTAGTTTTCTGACACGCGCAACATTTTGCAAGTCAACTAAACGTTAAAGTTCGCTCCATGCACAAACTGTGGATGTAGTGTGGCAAAAATGAGGGAAAGTTTCATGTATATTTTTGCACCGCATTGTATGACTGCACTTAATTATCATAGGGCACAAACATTTGCATATACAGTTTGTCTCTTTGTATTCATGCGACCAGGTAGGGGACTTCTGTGACTTTTGTGTTGTCACTGACACGTGTACGTTATGAGGTCTGGCATTGTCTGATTGTCATCACATAGTGTCATGGAAAAAATCGGGGGGTGGGGGGTTTAACACGTCACGTCGTCCTCATTTTCCATCTGTTCACTGGAAGGCTGTCTGGATATAATAATAATAATAATAATAATAATAATATTTGGTATAAAAAAAAACTGAAACCAGTTGGACGCCACTACGAAAATACACAATCGCCTCAGACGGAGCAATCTGAATGTGGGAATGTTGGCCCGGCATGCCGCTTGCACGTGACGCAGGGGGGGAGTTGGGGGCGAGGGGTGCCAGCATAAAGCCAATATTGTTGTTCTCCACCGTCACCACTCTGCACCTCTGCTGCTGTCAACTGCAGTCTCTACACGGCTTATTGACGGCCTTTTGTTTTGCTCCGTCACTAGGAGAGCCACGCATGTCAGTGCACAGAGCACAGAGCTGCTGTATCAGGCCCGGCCCCCCCCCCCCCCCCCCTCACCCCACCGCAGCTCCCACTCTGTTTGTATCGTAATGGGCATAGGGCTGCATGTGAAATGTGAATGGTAACTGGTAGTTTGAGGGGAGGGGGGGGTGGAATCTTGTTTGGTGTTACTGAGTTTGCAGTTTCACACATTTCCTTTGGTTGGAAAATAGTTTCCCTACATAGCAACACCTAATCTCAGTATCTCGGCTTTTTGTGTTTCCTCTTTCGCTGTTATTTTTCAACTCCGTCTGTGGTTTCTCTTTGTAGTTACATTTTGAGCTCAGCTGGGGAGGTCTGGCAAAATCAGAATGATTCTGACTTGGCCCGTCGCATTAAGCTGTAGCTCAATTAATCGCATGATAAATTAAAACAAGCGTAATCATTTCTCTTTTCTCTCTTTTTCTAACCAAAAAACTGCATGACAAATGTCCTCAGTCTCAACTAGCCCTTTTTTTTGAAGAGCAATTTTGTTTACAGAGACTCCATAATTGTCATTTCTGTTGAAAAAAGGAAAGTAAGAGATTTGAACTGAATTAGTAGAGTTAATCTAATCTGAAGATGATTTCACATTGCTTCCCATCTTGCAATGTGTGCTGTCACATTGAGAAATGTCTAAAACTTAGGAAATACGGAGGACTTTATAGGACATGAAGTCTTTGAAGTACGTGTTCCCCTTTTAATTGGCTCCCCTTTGCAAAAGTACATGTTTAATAGGAACCAGGGTTTTAAATTTAATGTTCCTTTTTTTAAGATTTTTCTTTCATGCGTAAGGATCAACCAACCATCTGGGAATGTCATTTTTCCTGCTCTACAAGTGCCACCCGGTGGTCAGATCCTTCCATGCAGAACTTAATCAGAAAAGTGGTTCTGCTGACTGTGAGTTTCACTTTCAGTGTCAAGCGTCCTGCATGCAGAAGTGAGTGAACTTTCGTCGACGCAGACACTTCGTCTGCGTGGCATAGCAGGAGATTAAATAAAGAAGTTATTATTGGGTCACTGCTGTGATATTTGAGGCGAAGGTGCGATTTAAAAAAAAAAAAACATCAACATGCACAAGTAAGGAACAGATGCCACCAGTGAAGGAACCCCGGTACTGTAAGTGTATGATGAGATGACTCCCAGCTGGAGGCGCAGAATTATTGGCTCATTTTCATTTGCCAAGCTATACCTGGAAGACCCCGGCCTCTCCAGGTGTGACAGCAGAACTTGACGCACCCTGGAGAAGCTGCAGCGGGAGAGAAATGGAGGGGGCGGAGAGATGAAGCCCCTCCGCAGCCCCCTGAGAGAGGCTGATGACATTTTGACAGAATCTGAGCTAAACATGTACAGAGCTTGACGTGGTGTGAGTTTAGACCTGCAGGAAGAGGTTTGATGCCGCCACGATGTAGGGCAAAATGCTGCAACACTCAGTGTATATGGGTGCATAATATGGGTAAGTAAGTCATGTTGGTGGGGCAGTGGTTGCGTTTCAGGAGTTCAAATGAATTCAGTCAGAAGTAGCATTTCGAAATAAGTTTAGAAAATCAAAACCTATGTTGGAAGCAAACCTGCACTTACTTTTCAGAATTATATATTAAAAAAAGTCACATTAATATTGTTGTTTCTAAATGAATATCAACTTGTTTTCTTTGCATTATTTGAAGTTTGAAAGCACTGCATCTTTTTCATTATTTTGACCATTTCTTATTTTCTGCAAATAAAACCTACATTTTTGCTTGGATTTTCGGAGACACGTTGTCAGTAGCTGATAGAATAAAAGAGCAATGTTCATTTTACTCAAACATAAACCTATAATGAGTGAAATCAGAGAAACAGATCATTTTAAGGAGTCCCTTAATTTATTTTTTCCAGAGCTGTATTTCAAATAAATAATCATGTTGTCCATCCTGGTCATGAAATAAGCAGACATGTGGATGCCAACTCACAAACTTTTCCTGTATTTTCTTTTTTTTTTTTTTGTCATCTCCAGAAACTTGAAGAAGCCGACAGGAAGAGCCAGTACCAGCTGGAGTCTCTGGAGCGCGAGCAGAGACACCTACAGCGTCAGCTGGAGCTGCTGAGAGGAGGAAGCGCCGCTGCCGTCCAGAGCAGCCCGGGGGAAGGGGAGAGGATACGCATGGACAGCGTGGGCTCCACCCTCTGCTCCGACCGCTCGGACTCCGACCAAGGTGAGGGCGCGTCCAGCTCCCCGCGGTGCTTTGGCTCATTTTGCAACATTGAGAGTGGAGGAGGGTCGGCTGCTGTTGGAGGCCATCGACAGAGACTCGCTAATGTAGGTTAAAAATGACACTGGACACTGGAAGAAAATGTGTTGGAGTCTGAGGTCAAGGTTCCCCCTAAACCAACATGAACTCAACATCCATTTTGTTTTCAGGCCAGCCAGAAACAAACCCGTTTAGACTCACAAATGTCACATGACTTTTTGAAAAAAAGGCATCTGATAAATATAAATATGTACTTTATCAAATTTGTATATATTTTTTAAGTATGACAATTGTATCTCTATTTCTAAGATTTTCTAAGACTCTTTAGATTCAATTTATTTTTAAAAGTATTCAATAACGTGTTTCTACATGTGGCTTCACTTCACAACAACCAGAGACCGACTCTGCCTGCCTGTCACTTATTATCCACTCAGATTTGTGGCTGTACATTAGATTTTAGTGTTTTCCATTCGTGTTTTGGTATGAAAACAATAAATAAATCTACATTTCATCTCTCCTCTCTTCCCCCACCCCCGCTTTTTTTTTTTTGAAGAAGAAGAAGAAGAGATTGAGGTGGACGTAGAGAGCACCGAGTTCTCCCATGGAGAGCTCGACAGCGTGAGCATGGCCAGCACCAGCGACCTGGACGACCACAGCAGCCTGCAGAGCATGGCCAGCGACGAGGGCTACTCCTCCTGCAGCGTCAAACTTGCCTTCTCCTCCTAAAAGCCGCCGCCAGCACCGACCAGCCCTGCCAAACCCGCCTGTCCTTCTCCTTCACCCCTCTGCCGTCTTCACAGCCCATCCAGCCGTGGCGTCGCCAACGACGACAGCATCCCCTCTCCGAGCCTTTTTTCTTTTTTTTCTTTTTGTCTTTTTGTTACATCCGCTCCATCCTGCCGTCACCTGTACCCCCCCTCCTCCCCCCTTCCTCCTCCTGAACAACTGGGTTTAAGTTTGGCTTAAAGGGAGCCCAGAGGCTTTACACACACAAGTCTTCTGGATTTTTTAAAACCCACTACAAAAAAAAAAAAAAAAAAAAATCTGTAATTGAATTTAAGTGTGATATTTCCTTTTGATTTAAAAAAAAATGCACAAGCCCTGATTTTACTCCAAATGCACTTAATTTTTTTTTTTTTATAACGGTGAACTTGCTCAAGAGTTTTCGGTTCTCCAATGAGGGCGTCTGAAACCGAAACCTAACAACGGGGTGGGGGGGGGGAAATCTCCGCCTCGACTAAACGGCCCTGTGGGCGCCACAAACGTCTTCCCCGCCGTCTCATTGCTTATCCACAGCACAGAGGCTCACATCCTCGAAATCGGTGCTACCGGGGAGGCAGGTCAGACTCGTCGCCACACGGAGAGAGCGTCTTCTGCGTGTCGACGCGATCGCAGGAGAAAACGGGAGGAATTCGCCGAGGGCGGTTTCGAAAGTCGTAACTTTGTGCGAATGTTTCGTTTTCGCTCCTTTCCCCTCGAACAAGCAGCTACGACAAGCCATCCAGCACTCGCCTACTTCGTAGCTGTCCATGTAAAACAAGGCACAATCCGAGACGAGATTAAAACACACACACACACACACACACACACACACACAAAAGAAAACAACAAAAAAAAAGCAGCAGCAACAAGGAAAAAAAAAATCATAACAGCTCCGAAGTTTGGAACAGAGGCACGACCTTTTTTCCAGCAGTAAGAAGCAATAACTCCCACAGTAATTTCTTTTTTTTTTGTCTGTTTTAATCCCTTTCCAATGTCCTTTCTCAGTTCTGTGTGACCGTCCCAATTAAACAAATTAGAGCAATTATTATTATTATTATTATTATTATTATTATTATTATTATTATTATTGTACATACAAATAGCTTAATAAATCAAACTTTAAAATAATAAAAAAAGAGTTTAAAAAGCTCACGGATAGAGCTGTTGCTGTTTGACTTCTGTTCATGGTGCATTATAAATGAAATTTTATCTTTTCAACATTTCTTTGCTGTTTGAAATTAACTATTTACTCGGCGCCCCGACAGGGGAGCGACGTTTTATTGGTGTGATGGAGAAAACCCAAACAGAGCAGCTCTCTCTCTCTCTCTCTCTCTCTGTCTTCCTCTGTGTGTCCTGTCGGGACTCTCAGTTGGAGGATGCGGCTGTAGTTTGGCGCAGTTATTGTTATTATTTTACTTTTATTTTTTTTTTATTTATTGGAGTTTTTTTTTGTTGTTGTCGTTATTTCTTGTTTGATATTCCTCGTGCATGTGGCATTCCTCCGGTGGGCCGGGTGTTTCTGAAGGAGAAAAACGGGTCGTATGATGTCAATACTCTCCCTCCCTAACCTCTCACTGGCATTACGAATTGCACTCCAACCACAGTTTTCCTTTTTTTTTTTTTTTTTTCTGCTCCACCTGCCATCCGTTCATTTTTACCATCCGAATCGAGAACGGGAAGAACTTCTGCTCGCTTTTGAATATTTATTTCTCAGTCCCTTAAAAGAGCACAAGCAGTGGGGGATGAATGGGAGGCGAAAAAGTTAACTTATTTTGGTTCTGTCTTATTTTACTCACTATTATTCCTCATTCCTTATTTTAAGAAATGTATATTTTATGTTATTGTTAAACTTATTTTTTCTTTTCTTTTTGGGGTGGGAGGATTTTAAGGAATAATAATAATAATAAAAAAAAATAAAATAAAAAAGCGTAGCCATTTTGTTTGATTATTATTATTTTTCAGATGTTTGACTCTATGGACACTTGAAATGTACTCGGGATCCCTAAGCTGCTCCTAGTGCTGAGCCTCGCCTGTTCCGAGTGGCCGGCCTCGTCCAGAACCGTCTCCGTCCTCGAGCAACCGCTTCAGGCTGGATTTTTGAATTCTAGTGAAGAGTTTTCACTTTTTTATTTTTATTTTTTCTGCTCCGAGGGTCAAGCTGCTTCTGCACGAGACTCGCTCACAGCCAAGACTTTTACTGGCAAATACTGAGCCAGCTACTACACAATAAACATAAAAAGGGGGTCTAAAAATCAAAAAACGACGAGAAAAAAAACAAAAAAAAAAACAAACGCCACTTTCCTCTATCGCGAGGATTGTAGTCTCTATTAGACTTGTGTTTTAGTTGACTAAATATGTCTTACACTTACCTCCATTTGAGGATTTAATGGGGAAAAAGAAAAAAAAAAGAAAAAAAAAAAAGACCGTAATAAGAACAAACCTTTGGTTGCCGAAGGGCGTCACTAAGGTGTGGGCTCCTCCCCTCAGAGCTCTGTGGAGGTTGGTGGACTTGGCACTGATTCAGAAAGTCACCACTTTTTTGGTGCTTTATTGTAAAAACAAAAATGCCAAAAGAGAAAAAAAAAGAAACACACCTCAGAACACCTCAGTGTCCTCTCTCTATCTCTCTCTCTCTCTATCTCTCTTTCTCTCTTTGAGGGACAGTTTACATTTGCTCCCCCCTTTAATTTAATAACTTCCATCTTAGTGTTGCTTTATTGTTTGTTTTTTTCCTTCATATGTTGGCTTTCTGAAACTGCACTGCTGACAGAAGAAGAGCTCCATGGTTGACCACAGACTCGTCTCTCCCTGTGCAACATGCTGTGTTTTACCACATTTGATTAAATGGCAGAACAGAACTAGACGTGATGAAATTGGTGGCCAAAATCAGACAATATTTGATCTTGACTGGAATCAGCTGTTCCGATTTATTGGCATTTTAAACTTATGCAAGTGTGCGTGTGTTCTTGAAGGACCAAAGCTTTAGCAAAAAAGGACCTGATGTTTTTAGGCTCTCTTTTTTTTTTTTTTTTTTTTTTTTTTTTTTTTTTTTTTTGCCTCCCGGGGGGTGTTTTTTTTTTTAAATAATCGG